TCAGCACCTCCCCCTCCTCCCCCCCCCCTCCCCGTCCTCCTCCTCCTCCGAGGCAGGGGGGGGGCGGGGGGGGCGGGGGCGGGAACCCGAGACAGCAGCGCCCAGCGCTCGGACGGCGGCCCGCCTGCGCCGCAGCGGCGTCAGCGGGGAGATCCCGCCCGCCCCCACAGCCAGGCTCAGCTGCCCCGGTGCGCAACACGCAGCCCGTAGCGTGCTGGAACGGAGCTCAATACGTAGATCGAATACGTAGGTCTTGCGCGATGCGTTCGCCAACACATGGGCCAACACGTGCGTGAGACGTCTGAGACATGGTACGTGGTGCGTTTCAACACGTGCGTCGCAGGACACCTAAGCAGCCGGGATGTTTTCATCGGGGTCCCCAAGGAGATTTTCGCCAAGATCTTCCAGGCACGCGCCAACATGGATCACCGTGGAGGATTTGGACGATGAGCAGTTGAACAAGGAACGCAAGGTCTGGAAGCTGGTGGAACACCAACCGAGGCTTGGCCATGGATATCGCCGTTATCCAAGGTCCGAAGCCCCTTGGGCACATTCCTCAACGAACGCCCCCACCGTACGAGATCCGTGGATCTGTCCAGGCCCCAGAAGAAAGGGTATTCAGGGTCCACCAGCGAAGAGCAGGCTTGCATGCATTCAACTGGGAGCGGAGATGGAGCCAGCGAGAGCCAAGATCAAGAGGGATGTGCACATCGAAGTCACAAGTCTTGAGCCTTCGGCGAGAAGTGTCGGAAAACTGATCTGGATACAAAGAACGAGTTAGTTGGACATTAACAGTACGCCGCACGTTCGGTTCCCCCCCCCAAGGTGACTCGACGCCAACGACATCCGCCCTCCCCGCTCTCACGGCAGCGTGTTGGATGCCCGCAGAAATAGAGCAAGCATGTACGGCAGATGCTCACTGGCTTGTACAGACATGAGAGGTGGAGGAGGAGGAGGAGGAGGAGGACCCACGACGCAACGATGCTGCCATGAACCCTCCCTCCAAATTCCCTCTCCGTAGGTCCCTACCACAACAAACATTGCCGAAATGCAACATTGGAAGACAACCGTTTGAGAACCCTTAACCTTGTCAGAAACAACCTTCCTGGGACTTCAAAGCCGGAAATCACAATGACGGTTGCGTCCTGACAATCCTAAACCGTGCCAGAAACCTACTCCTGGGAACTCAACACCGCGAATCAACGTGACTGTTGCGTCCTGACAAGCCTGCCTCGTGCCAGACCACATGTTCTGGGACTTCAACCTTGCGAACCCCTGAACCTGCTGCACACTTAAAAAAGGAGTGCGCACGGCGCTAATGCGAGAGTAACATTTCGAAAAGGAGCCGCCATCCATCTTTGAAACTGCTGCAAACTTTAAAACGAGGCGGGCGGCGCTCACGCGAGAACTCAAGGTTGAAACAAAAAAACGCTCTCCATCTGTGAAGCTGTTCCAAGTTTCCAGCTTCATGATCATAAGCTGTGAGAAAGCCGGGCCCGCCCTGCAGACCCGTCTGGGGGTGCGACTGGGAGGAATTATTTATAAAGAGAAACTGATGGAGGAGGAGGAGGACGAGGAATAGGAGGAGGAGGAGTGGCGCAGTGATGGATCGCGTCTGTGCCTCCCCTCCGCCTGCAAGCGTCACAAGATCCCGCAGGAACTCGGCCCCTCCGCAGGGTGGAACCTGCCCACCTCCCCGCCTATGTACCTGCGGAGCTGCCCCTCGCTCAGGTCCCCCAGCTCGTCGAATTCCAGGGTCACCGGCCGCGCCGACAGCGAGGCCACCTCGGCGTCGGCGTGGCGGATGCCAGCCAGGAGGCCGTGCTGCAGAGCCCCGTTCACGTCCACGCGTTTCTTCGGGGCAAAGACGAGCATGCGCGCGAGGAGGTCCAGGGACTCTGTCGTGGCCCAAGGCAGCCTCTTGCTGAGCCCGGACCCCTTGCGCTGCGGGCAGCTGCGGACGTGATCCCGCGCGTCCGCGCGCGTCAGCTGCGAGACCTCGGCTTCGCTCGGGGTGCCGAGGATATCGAAGATGACGTTGAGCTGGTCTGTGGAGCCGCGAGTGTGGAAGAGGCGGTCGTGCCTGTGCCTGCGGTCCGGCGACAGCGGAAAGCACGAGGTGCCAGGGAACAGAGGCCCGCGATCCATGTGACTCGGTCCCTCCAGCGTCTGCAGCAGCTCCGCGTAGATGCAGCCGACGGACCAGACGTCGATAGCCTCTGTGTAATCGTCTTGCAGCAAGATCAGCTCCGGTGCGCGATACCAGCGGGTCACGACGTGCCGGGTCATCACGCGTTTCGCCTTCATGGTGTGCGGGACAACAATGTGCCTGCCACCGACTGGCGCCGCCTGCCCTCCTCCCCACGCCTGCTCCTAAGCATCCCACCCCTGTTCCACGTCCTCCTCCCCCGTCATTCTCCTCCTCCTCCTCCTGGCGCGTCGCCGAAACCAGAAGGAGGAAAATGATGGGGGATTCTCCTCCGCCTCCTCCTCCTCCTCGGCTGGGCGCCACCTCGTCCTCCTCCTGCGAGGTGTCCGGCAGGGGCTCTGGGCGTCTCCTGCAGCTCGCGCCGCCGGCGGGGCGCGGGCGCGACAGCCCGAAGTCGCACACCTTCACGGTGCAGTCTTGGTTGACCAGGCAGTTAGCTGGCTTGAGGTCTCTGTGGTAGATGCCTGCCGAGTGCAGATACTCCGCCAGGGCGCCTGCAGCGCGGCAGGTGTGTGCACGTGTGCCTCGAAGCGCCTGTATCTTTTTCTCCCAATTAGGCTTGCCTACGGGGTTCCTACTTGGTCGAAAAGTTGGTGCCTCCTGTTGTTACTTTGCCCATTTCTCGGAGGTTCCTCGGGTTCTTCGGGTTCCTCGGGTTCCCCACCCCCTCCTATTGTTACGTTGCCCATTTCCCGAAGGTTCCTCGAGTTCTTCGGGTTCCTCGGGTTCCCCACCCCCGGTGCCTCCTGTTGTTACGTTGCCCGTTTCCTGAAAGTTCTTAGGGTTCCCCGGGTTCCTCGGGTTCCCCGCCCTCGGTGCCTCCTATTGTTACGTTGCCCCTTCCGACCGAGGAGGTTCCTCGGGTTCCCCGGGGTTCCTCGGGCTTCCCGCCGCCAACACACCAGACTCGACCGTGCCACGCGCTCGCTGATGCACGCACATGCAATCATGCCACCACGTCAGTCTCCACCATGTCACGCCTTCGGTGATGCTCGCACTCGTGTGGCTCAAGCGCGCCCGAGGGCTCCGAGGGGTGCTGCCTGCCCGGTCGCGATGCTGCCACTCCCACAGAGAGGCGCTGAAAAGGCCGCAGCCCGGCACAACGCAGATGTGTTCCGAGAGGTCGACTCGGCGATCCGATGCATGGAGGACGCACAATCTCCCGGGGGTTCTGTGGGGAGGAGGTACCTACTTCCTAACCGCCCTCGTTGCCAGCGCAATTGGAGCACTTCCAGCAGATCACCACACTGCCTGATGGTCTTTGCCTAGTTCACGCCTGCATCGCGGCTCGAACGCAAAGCGTTGGCGAGACGAACACGGAGTACAAGGGTTTTCGTCGGCCAGGCTGCAGGCACGGAAAGGAGACTGCAGCCGCCAAACAATTTCGCGACAGAATGCTGCAGCTCATGCGAGAATACGCCGCGTGCCGTCCACAGAGACGCGCACGCTACGAGCGGCGGGCGACAGAGATTGCGAAGGGGTCGCTGCCACAAACGGACGACATATCATTCTACGCAACGTGCCTGCGGGGTTGCATCGAGGTGGTTCCATTGGGATACGCGGACTATCAGAAAACTGCCGTGATCGGCTCCGGCCCGCCGCGCGCATCGGTTGGAAACTCTTGCAGGCGGAAGGAGGCGACGGGACGTCCACGGGCCATTTCGTGCTGCTCCGAAGTTGGCTGCCTGAGCAACGAGATCCTTGTGTTATGGTTGGCGCGGCGTTGGAAAACCCGCCCGCGCGAGCTGCGTCACCTGTGAAGAAGGCGGGGAACGCGGCCTCGTCAGGACACGAGCTCCAGGCCACGGCCGCCACAGATCCGGGGCTGGACCCAGTGCACATCACCAGCGTAGGGCGTGCTGGGCTATTGGGCCTTACTTGATCAAAAGGTTGGTGCCTCCTGTTGTTACTTTGCCCGTTCCTCGGAGGTTCCTTAGGGTTCCCCAGGTTCCACGGGCTCCCCGCCCCCGTGCCTCCTGTTGTTACGTTGCCAGTTCCTCGGAGGTTCCTCGGGTTCCCTGGGTTCCTCGGACTTCGTCGAGTTCGCTCCAGGTTCATTTTCAAACGGAAATTCCCGAATTGGGGTCGCGCCAGGTTCATTAGCACAAACCATGCTACTTGCGAAGCGATGATGCGGCCCTCATTGAAACGGACCCCCAGACACACTCTCTTCAATACCTCCAGGGCGACCCGAAGAACCTCCCAAAACGGGAGCTCCTCCTCATTGCCCCGGAACTCCCCCGAAAGCCACAGGGCCCCTCAGGAGGCTCCGAAAGTCCCCCTGAAGGCATCGCGATATACATACAACGCCGTGGCCGCGTCACGCCAATGTTGATGTGCAACTTCCACAGCTGCGGGAGCGGCTAGTGCGCGGCAGCGCAGCTGGACTGACTCCAATGAGCAGGTTATAGAGCAGAGTGTCAATCTGTTCCTGCCCGAGCGTGATGTCCTGCTTGATTAGCTTCTTCAGATCCAGATCGCACAGCTCCATCACTATGTACAACTCGTCAAAGCTGCGCATGTTGGACGGCTGAACAATGTCGTGCAGTTTCACGATGTTCGGGTGGTCCAGCTGGCTCAAGATAGCGATCTCTCGCAGGATGCGCTTGCAATCTACTAGGTCGTCGAACAAGTGCTTCATGCGCTTGATGGCTACTTTTCTGTCGTTCTCGTGATCCCATGCCTCGCATACCGTTCCGTAGGAGCCCGAGCCAATGACCTTGCCCACCTTGTAACGATCGGGGATCTGCCACGAGCCATTGACTGGACCGCACGGGAGCAGTGTCGGCATCCGTCGTTGCACACAACGCTCTCAAGCCTGCATGCGACCTACGCAGCTAAATCAATATGGCTTGGACCGATACAGGGTATGGATGATGACGCAGGCGATGGTGATGGCGATGGCGATAGCGATGACGATTGCGATGGCTGATGGTGATGGTGATGTGCTGGTGGTGATGACGATGACGATGCCGATACCGATGACGATCATGATGATGAGCATGACTGTGACGACGCTGATGATGATGATGATGATGATGATGATGATGATGATGATGAAGATGGTGATGATGGTGACGATGATGGTGGCGAGGATGAGGTTGATGATGATGGTGATGGTGGTGATACTGATTATGCTGCCTCAAACAATGTTGATGACGACGAGGATGATGGTGATGATAGTGTGATCCAGTGCGCCTCCCTGCGCTGCCGTCGCAGCAGGCACAGAAGATCTGCCACCAGACGTGGCCACACCGACGGTCGCACTGAGGGGGGTCGACGGGGATGGACTGGCCCAGGGGGGGACAGTAACCTGGCATCGGCTATGCTAAAGGGGCCCAGGTACGCACGAACAAATAAACACAAATCCTAGGATTCCCGATCTTTTCCTACATTCTCTGAGTTTGTCGTCATACCCCCCACTTCCCATATTTGCCCACGTTTTCCTGGGAGTCGAAGAACAACTTGTGTCTGTGCTATTTGCTCCCCCTCCTGATACGCATCGCCGATAGAGCGGCGAAAAGGCAAAAGAGTTCCTCGGCGGGGGGGGGGGGGGGCACCCAGGCCAATATACACTGGCGAGGCACAGGCGCTGTTGGGTGTCGCTCCAGACCCAGGCCAGTCAGGCCTTGCAGAATCCTGCAAGATCCTGCAAGATCCAAACCGAGGTCAATGCGAAGGGTCCTGCAGGATCCTGCACTCAAGCCCGGGTTGGTGCGACCCTGGCCCTGCAGGATCCTGCAAGATCCGGCGCTCTGGCTGACCCCCGTTTGTATTGACCCCCGTCTCTTGGTTCCCAGTGTCGAAACCTCCCTCCGTAATTACCAGCGTTCTCCAAAAAGAGCGCCCAGGGACACCGACTAGAGGATGGCGCAAGAGCGCCCCTCGCGCCCCCAGTTTCAATGTTCATCTAGGGGAGCAGGCCGCGGTTTGCAAATGCGGGCGTTTTTATTGAAACGACTCGCACTCCCCCGCGTCGACCATCCCGAACTTTGAATTTGGGGCAATGGAGCTGGGCCCGCTTCAACATGCATTAGAGATAGGCGTTTTTTTTTGTTTTCGAAAACCACGGTACGCCAGTCACCCAGTGTCGTTGCCCCTGACGCATCCTGAGAGGGTGCCCAGAGGTACCTCCCGGCGCCATCGGCGCCGCTAGATCACACGAACGCCTGCGCTCCCCTCTGACGCAGACTCTGACGCCGCTCGCCACTGCGCACTACTGGGCGAGATGGCACGCGCGCCGCCGGCGGCGAGCATCACCGAAAGCGTACCGTTGAGCCTGGCACGGGCCCGTTCAGGAGTTCTCCCTTGAAACGAACCGAATGCAAGCTTGACGTCGGACTATCTGCCGGCCCCGCTGCGGGGCCTCCATGCTGTGAGCCGTCCAGCTGCACTGGCAAAGGTGTCGCTGCTGGTGTGGCGCAGGAGACTGGATTCAGTGGTTGTACCCTGCCGCTCCTCTGCAAGTCCCCCCCTCGGCCCTCGGGTGTTCGAAAGTCCGTTGGACACGAAAGGATAGGACACGAAAGGATACGAAAGGTTACGAAAATCGTGGTCACGTAGGCCCGCCACGAAAAGGACACGAAAAGGCCCGCCACGAAAAGGCGACGAAAGGCCCGCCACGAAAAGGAGACGAAGGCCATCGTAGCCCGCCACGAAAATCCCTGGGGTACGAAAGGCCCGCGCTCCCAGGGCCACGACCCCCCCCTAAATCACGAGGAACCCGCGCCTCCACGGCCGCGATGCCACGCTCGGCAACCCCTTCCAACGAGACTAGCAGAGGAAGGCAAGCGAGTGCTGCAGCGAGCAGAGGACGACCAGCCCCCAGGAGGTATGCAGTGGTTGACCAGAGGTGGGCGATCGACACTTTATCCATGCCTTAGGTTGGGCGTGTCCTCCTACAGGCGGATTTAGGACGAAAACAAAAAATAGACCCCAACATCATCAAACATAGTCAAACATTATCGACCCACGAACCCGGAAAGGAATCTAGAAATGTAAGGCATGGCAACGCTTCAAAGACACCTGATTGGGCGACGGGCAAATGCAATGCTGAATGTATCCATCTTGATGTACCGTGCCGAGGGCTGTGCTGTGCTGCGCCGTGCTGAATTGCGATGTGCCATGCCGCGATTGTGCTCTATAGCGTTGTGGATCGAATCCCCCTTTGCATCCGAGTCCTGACCGAACTGATCTGGATCTTAAGCTCGAGCTGCCTGGGCACATAGCAGCTGCCCCAGAGCTCATTGACAGGGGCACATACCAGGAGGACGCGCCGCAGAACGTCCCCAGGGATGACGTGCCAGGGGACGTGCCACGGGGACGCATCGCGGGACGTGCCAAGGGGACACGCTACGGAACGTGCCAGTGGACGTGCTACGGGACGTGCCAGGGGACGCGCCGCGCCACGTGCCAGGGGGACGCGCAACGGAACGTGACAGGGAACGTGCTAGGTCAAAATGCTGAGTGTATCGATCTCGATGCACCGTGCCGAGGGCTGTGCTGTGCCTGGGCGACCTGGACGCGTGAAAACAAGCGTTTCGCTCAAGACTGTGGACACATCCTCATTCTAGACATCCGCCTGGGCAACCTGGACACGTGCAAACAAGCGTCTCGCTCGAGAGGATCCTCATGCTAAACATCTGCCTGGGCAACCTGGACGCGTGAAACCAAGCGTCTCGCCCGAGACATCAAGACCTGGGCACGTGAAAACAGGCATTTCACTTCAGAGATCCTCTGAATTCTGGTCCCCAGGAGAGGACAATCTAGAACACAAAACAAGCGTTTCGCTCGAGACATCCTCCACAAATTCTGCATAACAAGCGTTTCGCTCGTGACGCCCTCAAATGTGAATCCGCCGGCCCTCTTCGAACTTGGCACCGGGGACAGGTTTACCTACTAAAAGAGGGGCCTATGCCCTTTCCGGGAAAAATTTTCCCGAAACGAGGTTTAAACTATTTTCGGATATTCCTCCTGTAGAGAGACAGGCCCGACTAAATCCATGCCCCTGCTCACGCCCCGGCCCTACGAGGGGCCAGAGCGGCGGCATGGATACCATTCCGACCTCAGGAGTCGCGTTTTTCTGTCCATGCACTGGTTCCCCCTGGCGCCCAGGAGTAGTGAGCAGTAGCAGGAGTTATGGATCGAGCGTCGATTGTCGAAGACAGGACAAGGCAGGAGGGTCAGGCAGGCAAGTCGTCAGCGACTTATGCCGGGCCCGTCCCGCTCAGCGGCAGTGCTACAGGAGCCTCCCTGACAATTGAGGACTTGACCTGGGCGGCGGAAACAGACGTTGAGAAGGAAGTGGACAAAATGGCCCGAGATGCTCTCAGATGGCCTCCAAGATGGCACAATATAGCTGCCGAGATGCTTCCAAGAGGCCTCAAGACCGCCCCAAGATGGCTTCAAGTGGCCAGGGAACCTCCCACGGAGGATCCCGAGAGACCGAAATCCTACAAACACCAATCTAAGGAAAATGAGTGATTTGTACGTTCTCACCTTCTCGCTTCCGTTGGGCCTCTGAGGCCTCGGCTCCCCGTAGCTCTCGACCCCTTCCATGGAGCCGGTTTGTCAGGCAAGGTCGCTGTATAATGTTCCCATGGCCCAGATAAAGGCCACTGGAGAACAAACGTGGCGAACATCCTCCACCTTGGCGCCCCCCCCTCCTCCCTCGCGTCCTCTTCATCCTCCTCCTCCTCATCTCCATGAACATCCGCGACACCATCATCATCATCATCATCATCATCATCATCATCATCATCACCAGCATCATCATCATCATCATCACCACAACCACCATCATCATCATCAGCATCATCATCATCGTCACCAGCATCATCATCATCACCATCATAATCATAATCAGCATCATCATCACATTCGACATCATCCCCATCATCACCACCACCATCACCATCATCACCATCATCATCAGCAGCATCAACATCGAACATCATCATCATCATTATCGACAACATCACCAGTATATCATCATCGTCATCATCATGACACTCGCCATCAACATCAACCTCATCATCATCATCACCATCATCATCGACATCGTCACCGTCATCATTATCGCCATCATCATCAGCATAATCATCATCGGTATCATCATCGCCCTTCTCATCATCAACACCACCACCATCAGAATCTTCGTCGTCATCGTCATCGAATCACCATCGTCATCATCATCATCATCATCATCATCATCAACAACCCTCCATCATCATCACCACCACCACCGCCATCATCACCATCATCAGCATCAGCATCATAATCACCATCACCATCAACACCACCACCATCATCATCGTCATCATCGTCATCATCATCACCACCAACATGACCATCACCATCGTGATCATCATCATCATCACCATCATCACCATCACCATCATCATCGTCATCATTGTCAACAACCCCACCATCATCGTCATTGCCATCGTACTCATCACAATCATCATCACATCACAATCGTCATCATCACCATCATCACCATGTTCAGCATCAGCATCAGCATCATCATTAACAACACCACCACACTTATCAGCATCGCCATCGTCATCATCATAATTCGTCGTCGTCATCGTCATCGTCATCGTCATCAACATCATCGGCGTTATCATCATCATCATCAGCAGCATCATCGACATCATCATCGTCACCGTCATCCCCATCATCATCACAACCACAATGCCCACTAGCATCAGCATCACCATCACCATAATCATCATCATCATCATAATCAACATCAACTTCATCATCCTCATCATTATCACCGACATCGAC